TGCAACAGACAAGGACAACACAGACACAGACAGACGGACAGCACCTACCTGATTGAAGTCCTGAGGGGTTAGTCTCATTCCTGGAACTTCTTCCAGCGCTACCTGGACCATGGGCGCCCTCGTGGGTCTGAAACAAACTACATTGGATGTAAAAACAGTGGAAGGCTTCATACCATATCTGCGGTCCTTGCTGCTTTGTCACGTGGAGAATCGGTTGATTCGATTTCTTCATCGATCTACGAAATTGTCACACACCTGCAAATCAAAATTCGAAATTTTACTTGGAAATACCCACAAGGAACGAATACCCACAAATTTCCACAATCAGTACAAGGAAAAATTGCCTAGTCTGAACGAGGATCGAAAACAATTTTCCAACCTGTTTCAAGATGTGCAACAGCGCGGAGATATCGAGAGATGCTCTTGAGTTTTCTACCGCATCAGTCTGAAAGCCGGGCATTCAGGTTGAGGTTGAGGTTGAAAATATCCGAAATCGATTCAATTGAAGTAATGAATCAAAATCTTTAACATCAAATATCCATAAATTTTCAGCAGACGGAAGAAAGGAACTCGAGAGTTTAGCTACCAAAAGAAGTACCGATTGTTTTTTGGACTGAAATAAACAAAAGTAAAATATCGACAATAGCGACCAGGAACCCGTCCTCCTCCACCTCTATGCCCTTCCGTCTGTGTGCTCTCCACCCCTCTTCGCCCCCATACATCTGTCCGACCGCCCCTTCCGTGTCCATCTGCCTGTGTATGTCCATGTCTGTCTGCCCGGCTGTCTGCTTCTGGGCTCGTCTGTGCCTGTCTGTCCATCTGTGTCCCTCTATCTACCTGCCATCTGCGTGTCTATCGGTGCCGTCCACCCTTCAATTCTTCCTCGCTGTCTTCATAAGGAGTTGGCATCCTGTTCGATAATTTTGTTCAAAGTTGCTGCTTGTGGAAAATGTGATGGTATCACGGAGGGGAGGGAGGGCGTGAAAAAATTAGAAGGGTTGAGAGTCAAAGAGTGAGAGCCAAAGGGGAAGGGAGAGAAAATGTTTGCCTTCTTCATTCGTGCTCTGTGTAGTAATCGCTGTAAACCAACCGGTGCTATACAAGTAGGGTGGGCACGCCGCATTTTTTGAACAGAAATGTATGTAAGTGGGACTGCTGCCCGCTACTATACTGTCACGAGAATCGGGGAATTCGTGAGCCAGGGGGAGTGTAGCCAATCTAGGGGGGGGGGGTGAGGGCAGTCACTTGACATGCGTGAAAAGCTGGCGTGCCCACCCCACTTGTATAGAGCCAACCAACCTTTGAGTTTTACCTTTTGGCCACTGCTTTAATGGAATCTGCCGAAATATTTCCATTGGAAGACATCTCTTGCTAATTCCCTCGGGGTGTTGGACTTGGTTGTATAAGGGATTTTGAGATGTAATCGTATTCGGATTCGTTATTAATTGTTTTCCTTTAACCCATAACGGACGGCCAGTGTATTTTTCGCGTGCGCCACCATGTGGCGCACGCCGCCACACAGGGTAGGGTTTATGTAGGCTTATGCGAACAGCAGGGTTAAGACGGGGCTAAAGTAGGTGTCCGTGTCTCATCATCCAAAAGAAGAGATTTCCGTTGACGACAAGTTCGTAACCCGCCTTTCCGCTCTAAAACTAGGGTGCAAAGAATGAATGGAAGCTGTAGGTGACATTATCGAAAAATGCGAAACAACAACCCCGAGCAAGGATGTGGCTATATTTAGGGGAAGGGGTCTCGGGACGTGCGAACCATGGGTAAGCCACCCATCAAATAGTAAACTTATGTAAATTAAGACAAAATGTATGTAAAATTTATTGTAGGTTTGTCAAAAATCCAGCCGTCCAGGTCCTGGGAAGATATGTTATTCCACATTGCTGAGAGTATATATGGGTATATTAAGATTGCTAGAAACATTCCAAAAAC